CACGATAAGAAACGTACTGTCGGAAGAATTCATTCTTATCATACATAACTAGAATGAAGCGGTATTGTCCACCATCACACGGGACTCGCAAGTGATGTGTTCGAATCCCACCACCGTGGCCTAGCTGGCTCAACACTATATGTCCCCAGGCAGTTTTGAATGGCTTCAGCCCCCTTCCTGTTGTATATTCAAGTAAAGCAATTTAATATAGTGATTTTATCAAGAGATTATAGTAATGGAGGATTATGTAATGAATTTCGTAGTGTGCAAGGCAAATGAAGCATGACTTGATAAGCTAGGAGACACTAGACAATTGTTTCAACCTGGTTGCGTCACATGAACGGAGCGACTCGATCGACCCCACTAGGAGTCGGACCCGGAATAAGATTTTCGATGCCATATCGCCCGGATAATTATAATACATTTTTAGATGCAGAGCAGAAAGACGGGAGGTCCCATTCGTTATTCCAATATTTTCTTTTTGTCATAGAATCCGTTTATGGGGCAGCTAATTACTGGAATTTTCGGCACACAATGCCTGGGAACTGCGTAGCTGTTACCGATTATTCCTTTTTAACATGGTATCTTGTATTGATTTTAATACTGCAAATCTGAGTCCAATGTAAGAGCTTGACCCGTATAATCTCTGGTTCCACTTGATATAAAAGATTAATTTGTAGATATTATGGTTGTTTTTTTATTAAAAAAACCACAAGGTGAATATGTTTCACAGCTTTCCTATCGAAAAATGGATTTCTTATTTTCTGCAAAGGTCCTGATGTTTGAATGACATTTTGAATACAGTTCCCAAAGAGAAACTCGGTCAGTATGTTTGGGCTCTCAAAAAAAGATGCCTTAGATATCTGTCTTCGAAGTCAAGTTTCTAGTTTGTCGTTTATCTTAGTTGCTTTTGTGTGTGCGATCAGTGTTGTTTCTCAGGGTTTTTTAAGATACTATCACGATCGTACTCTAGTTCACAATGTTTAAATCCCGCCAACCAACTCTGATTGTATGCATCAGTTCTACAGCAAGAGGATCCTGTGTATTTCCTCAATTCAAGTTTCAAGGTATGTTCCTACTTTTCATAACGGAACAGTACTTAAAACTCAGACCGTAGGCTAACATATGTTTTCTTTCAGTTCATTCTCAAGCCATTACATGTATTTAGGAAAATAGCGGGAGGATGATGTTTCGAGGTCAAATAATTATCGCAATGAGGCGGGATAAAGATAAGTTTGTCTTCAGTTCCGTTTTTCGGATAAGAACAGTTTACTTAAACGTTGTTAACTGATCTCGGTCGTCACGACGCTCATGCGTGATGTTATCAACTGTAGGACATGGAAGTTGAAATGCTTTAACAAGTGTTTTTGTGCATGCAGTTCTGTCTGTAACAAGCTGATGATAATTGGCTCAGCCATTACTCGCGTTTCAATTCGAACAGCCTTGGATTTGTGTTGTGGGACTCGTTAAGTAATAATGTAAGCTGAGTTAGTGTTCACCATACACCCCATTCTCGACCAAATATGCAGCAATGGAACTGGGAATAACCCGGTTTCTTCTGTGTCTAATCCACAACGATTGATGTCACTTGGCGCTTTTAGATAACTGCCTACCCCAATCCTTTCGCATCATTATTCGACCACGAACACATCACCCTCTCCTTATTTTCTTAAATGACCGTTATTGTAATGGCTTGAGAATGAACTCACTGAAAACATATGTTCACCTACGATCTGCATTCTGATTACAACGATTGTTTTATTTTGTGATTTAAAGGAACAGTTAGGGTTCTTGTCAATGTATTTCTATCCCTTTTTTAATGTTCATGTAATAAAAAAAACCGTACGTCGTATCATTAGTTTGCTCTTGGCCATCGAGTACAATTATTTGGTATTCCTTTCGTCGATTTTTTTTCGAAAAATCTCATGCTTGTTTCCAATTCTGTCCTTGTTTCAGGTGTGGAGATATCTTACTTTCTGTCGATCATTATCCCCTCACTAACATCTCCCACGCACATGCTGTGGCCTTGCTAAAGCACTGTACGGGTGAAGTAAAACTGCGAATCGTTTCTTGGCCTGGAACAATAGTGTAGGAATAAGATGCTCCTTTGCTGTTTTGACCGCCTTCTCCCTTTACCCAACTTCCCTTTCACTCGTTCTCGTGCATTTGCTTCCGCTTGCATTTCAGAGCGCCATATCACGGTTGTTTCCATGTGCATTCCCCCATCTCCCTGTTATTCTGCTTCCCGCACCTCTCCTGTACTATCCTGAGTTACACACATTCTACTTGGTATGCAATCGCTTAATCATTATGCGTGTGTATCATGCTACAAACACCTTTCGAACCAAACAGTTCTTGCTCCTGTTCATTCATATTATGGGTTCTATTTGGTTTACTTTGCTTCTATTCTCCCTCTTTCTCGGCCGTGTTTTTCGATCTCACACAGTCCGTTTACCCAATTATTCAGTGTACATTTCAGTTCACTACTGCTCATTCTTCAAACCATTAACCATTGTCCCGCTTGGGTTGTCTCTTCGTTCGGCTTATTTTTACGTCTGCAGCAGTTCCTGCGATCATCATGCCGTTTTGCCAATACGGGGTTTTGCTGTTTATCATTTTACTTCCACCCTTGTGCGTTCATCTCGTCTTTGTTCGAGTCACGTGATTACACCTGGTTGTGTTGAGGATGGCTACTCCGATCGTCTATCTCTCTCTCCGTTGCGAAGCGGTTGGGATGATTTACCGGATTTTTAGACCCGTTGTAAATTCTCCTTTAGAGCGCGTGGAAAAAATCGGGCTCTCGATTGCGTGCCTGTTTTACACTGCCGAAGATCGAGAACAGTTCAGCACCTCATCAATGGTTTCCTGCGACAGATCACTTTTTCTCGTTCCCTCCGAAAAGGTTTGGCGCTGATCTGTCCCTTGTTTGTTAATTCTAGTTTACACCTTTGAAGAAGACAATAAGTAAATAAAAAAGGAATTTCTGCTTTAAAAATCCTATAGTTTCTGATTACTTGGCCTTGCTGGTAGAACGTTGAATGATATCCGATGGGTCTTGTAAGCAGTAGGCGTTTGGGAACACTCGGGATTGGAGGAAGAACTAGACAGATGGGAAACAGGTTTTTCCAGATGGATGCCTAAAACGACGACGTAATTCGCGGCAGCCACACCAACGAGGGGCTTTTCTTTGAGTACCCTAACCAGAGCCCCCAACAAACGAACAAAATCGACTCAAAATTCCGATTTGGTTATGGAAACAGCCTATTCTCGTAAGAGGATAATGGCATCGATTTACTTCCGGGTAGCGGACGACAGTGTGCTACTGAGTAAAGATCCAGGTAATTTGCAAGCTTTTCTGGTTAGCTTAAGTACCAGCGTAGCCTTGTTGGGTACGCGTTTTGCAACTTCAAAGTGTAAATGCTACTACAAAACCGGGTTGGTCCAGCACCGAGCCTCATTCTAACTGGGGAAGTAACAGAGCAAACGAATAAGTTTTATAATTTGGGCAGCTACATCTCCTTCCCGGTGGACGCATCACGGATGAAGTGTCAGCTCGCATACAGAACTCTGGGTTGACAACTTGAGAAATATGTGGTGCCGTCGCGAAATCCGGCTGTCTGTTCAGGGTCGGGTACATGCCGCGGCAAGAGAAACGTTTCACTGACGGTGAAGGAATTCAACAAAGCTCGTAAAACACTGATTTTCACTACATTTGTTCCTCTCAATGCTTCGTTTTTCCTGCCTCATTCACGCAACATATCTGATATAATACCCACTTATGCCTTTCGTCCTATTAGCCACATGCCATTACAATGTACGATTTTGCTCACGCATCAGCTGTAAAATGACAAAGTCACAGTAGAAAACATAACGGATTTATTTCTGGAAATGACTCATAAACTTCCCACAGGTATTGTACTTTCATCTCGTCCATGTTCCATTTGCTCTTCTTCATTTTTGAGCGCTGGAGGCAGTAGGTTTAGCATAGAGTCCACCAAGTTGACTGCCAAACGGAATTTGGCATTGAACTTGGCCCCTCCCCGGATTGCATAAATGTAAAAAATAATATTTAATTAGGTCTGACCGTTTTTACTACCAATCCCAAGCGAAAAGATATACCAGCCTTCATCTGTGAAAAATATGGCTTCCGCGAATGCATTTAAAGAGTAGCAGTCATTAAAAAGAATGAATTCCCATGCTACTTCACCTAAAATATTTTCCAAATCTGAGCTATAACTTTCGAACTACTACGAATTTTATCGCAACGCTCAAGTTCACGCTAATTCAAACGGTGATAGAAGAGAACTAAGAACATACAAAAGGGAGATAAAATCAGGAATAAATATAGTTTACCCATAGCCATCAATATACAAGTATGATATTGGAGACTGGAATCTATTTCCAGAATCAGGGTGATGTTGCACGAGTTTGATCAACATCCGTACATTAAGGGTTATTGTTGTCTGTCATTAAGACAAGTTCAAAGTTTCATTATGATTATCTGCTTACCGAACCCGCTTCGAAAAATAGTGCGTGTCTTAGACGAGTCATCCGTTGACCGTCATCATCGCTTGAGCACTTTCCATGCTACACCGCTCCACAACTGATTCTCTACCAACACTTAGGCAGCATCGGATTCGGAACCTATCCTCCTCCTGTGCCTGCCCAAAAATCACACGACCGATCGGGTTCGTTTATCGATCGGTCGAATGGTTTAGCCGCAACAATGGACCTGGTGCTTGCCCAGGTAACCCAAGCGAGAAACCACACCTTTTTACAGTTGTGATTCTCAGACAGGCTCGGTGAACTTCGACTGTGCAGCAGGGGTGCCATCAGCACACAGATGGACTGGACTGGAGGATTGCAAAACGGTAATATGACAGCCTTGTGTTGGGGTGAGGGATTTCAAGCGCTGCAGATCGCGGAATATGATCCAATCAGATCATAGAAAGGGTCAGAGGGAAGTTACTTGTTTGAGGTCACGGGTGAGAGGGACGAGACGATGGTAAACGATGGAACAATCGTACGGCGAGCGATGTTTCCCCGAGATGGGTTGTGGGTGGAACAAAGCAAAGAGTGGTCAACCGTAGACCAAATGGTATGAAAGTCCTAACCAGGAGTCTGGGTCGCTAAGCTCCCTCTCTGGAGACTTCGGGATGATCGTACCGGATGGTTAGAGATGCTTGGTGTCCGAAACAGTGGCGCTCGTGCATCTCAATTTCTTTTCATCATTATTCCACTGGACTTCTCATTTTTCTCTTCAATCCTACTTTCAACTATCCTGTTGTTCATCGAGATGGGCGGTCAAAAGAGACACGAAAGTGCATGCCTAATAGTTGTTCAAACTGAACTGAATAAATGAATGATGTATTTTGGCTGTGATAGAACGGGACACAGATTGTCAGAGGTAATACCAACAATCCACTGTTTGAACGATCTGATGCTAAACTGTCGCCTATGTTTTTCAGCTAAGGAACAGAATAGAAAACTATACTGAGAGACCCGTTATTAAGTTTTCGGCATCATTGGACCTGATCAAATTGTGACGGTATT